TACTTGTGGGTCAAGAAATAAAGCCACTCACTAAGACGACAATAAGACATGCTGCATAACAAACAGAAATGCAAACACACAAATCTGCATTTGGCTTTTCTTGGTCTCCTTGCAGCACATTTCCTTTATCGCTCCAATCTTTCCTTTCTTACTGAGTCTGCTGTTTGATCTCAGATTTCTGTCATTGGTTATTTTAATTACCACTTTCCTGAGATAAGATAAGAGACACATAATAAAATTGTAGTTCAATAGGAAACAGTTCAATCAGGCAGAAAACATGAAGAGGCTGATAAATGAATGAACAGGTGAATCTCTGACTGTGAGAGCAGCAGGTGAACTGTGTGTGTGTGAAATGTGGACACAATGCGTTCATCACGTCCTCACAGTCAGAGAATCATCAATAAACCAGAGACAATAAGACAGAACAAACTGATTCAGGTCCCATCACACCATCAGCACCATCTGCCCCCAACACCAGGCCTACCTGGGATGGCCAGGTGGAACAGCGGGACATCCCACAGCGCACATGGCAGGCGAGACATCCAACTCTCCATGGGCAGCTCCATCAGGCTGGGCTCACTCAGCCCGGACATCACTGCTGCTGACACACACACACACACACACACACACACACACACACACAGGTTCACTGATTACATTGTGTTATTAATGTTTAATAAAGTGAAAGTGAGCAGGTGCGTGCACTGCGCTGTTTCACAGCAGTAAACTTGCGCGTGCCTGTGTGTTTATGTGTGTGTGCTGCAGTCAGCCCTCCTCACCTGATCGTCCCTCTGTGTCTCAGATCCGCTTACGCGAGCAGAGCCCGCTGACAAAGGCCACGAGCCGCCGGTCTGAGAGCGCGTGCACGAGTCATGACCGGAGCGGCACATTAAGCATGTGTGACTGACACGCGGAGAAAGCTGGGATCCTCCGCAGCAGATCTCTGTCTGTTACCGGTGAGCCGTGACCGCGCGCTTCCGGTCGCCGCTGCGAGAGCGCGGCTCCGCTCTTAAAGAGACCGCAGGACCTCGAGGCTGCTGCAGCCCCGCGCGCACACGCGGCTCACCTCCATAATGCACGTGAAGGTAAAACATCTGGAGAGACGTCACGACGTTTGATCAGCTGATGAAACGCCTGTACATAAAAGATGGACATTCTCTCCCGTTTCCAGCAGGGGGCGACTCGTCTGGTCTCTGGTCTTCCTGTGTTTATTGTGGGACTGTACAGGTGCCGGACATTCCAGTGAGCACACTGAGGCTGTGTCCATAGCTGGACTGGCCATCGGGCATACCGGGCATTTGCCCGGTGGGCCGCTGGCGATTTTTTGTTTTTATGGGCCGATCGATTTTTTTTTTTGTTTTGTTTTTTTGGAAGGGTATAAATAATGAAAGGTGTTGGATTGGCCAATTGGTCATGATCGACTCTGGGCTGGACCAATTACAGCCGAGGAGGTCGGATGCACCCTCCCCCTTGTTTAGCAATGACGAACTAAAGAAATGGAGAACAAAAAAAGGAAAGGAGGTGCAGAAAAAATTAGGGCCAAAAAGAAACAAGCCCTTCAGGCAGACGCTGCCAAATGTTTAAAAAATAACTGAATTGTTTGGCGGTAGCTATGGCATAGCTTCCACAGATTTAGCAACATCAGCAAGTGGTGGAGGCCAGCAGGTGGATAAGGGAAAGGGGAGGCAAGAGGAGGAGAGACCCGAGGCGGCCGCCGGTCATAGTGGCAGAGGAACTGAACTTCAGGTAAAAAGTTATGACCTGCTGTCTATCTGTGTCAGATATAAACCAAGTTTAGTTGTAGTTTGTTTTCGTTGTGCTGACTTTTTACAGTCGCTTAGAATAACTGGTACTGCGTACTAGCTAGCATGACAGAGTTTATATACTGCTGGGCGGGTGCTATGAAGTTACTGATAGTAAATTTTATTTTATGCTTAAGGTTAGTTTCTCAAACTCCTCAAAATCTTAACAAATTGCACCAATCCTTACATGTTGCACCAGGCTGATTTATCATCAAAAGTGGAGAAGTCTGTGACAGAGGAGACAGAAGAGCAGCAGAGAGAGATGGAGCAAGAGAGAGAAATAAAAGAGCAGGAGAGAGAGATGGAGAGATGACTTTATGTCATCCATGAGGGATGCATTTGACATATGTTTCACATATTATAGCCCAACAAGTTACTTATAGCAATTTAAATACGAGCAATCAGTTTTTGGTAAATACCAGAAATCAGTTTTTGGCAGACAATCACTTTTTGGCACAACACCGGCTATTGCAGTTAATAATACAACAGCTTCTTGCCATTTTTTGTGTTTCTTTTTATCGCTGTGTAACTGAGTTGTTGGCATTACATTACATTTGGCTCAGTGCTTACATATATGTCTAAAAAGAAAATGCACGAGCTGTGAAAACTGTTTCTGATAGAATGAAGAGTATATTAAATATTCCTTTGTTGGGTGAGAAAATCATACCATGTCATAACTGCTTTACGTCATACAGAATAGATATCAGAGCCTTAAACAGGCTGACTTCTGCTAAATGGGTCAAACTGGGCACAAAGTATACAAACACATAACATCATTATAGAATATGATGTAACACTATAGATCAACTTACCTCAGAATATATAAAGCATATAAACAATTACAGCAAGATGATACAACAAACACAGCAGTACTACTAATGCTAAATACTCAAAGCTTGATAGAACTGAAACAAACATTTATTTTTAGGTCCATTCTGCTGCTGATACATACTTTAGGTTTCTGAACATTAAACTTCTTGCTGCCTTTCATAGTGTGTAACTTGAAGGCCCTGAGTACTTTCTCCCACACTGAAATGATAAAATTATTTGAACATTACCTAATAAGACTGATTCAGGACAGACAGTTAGTTTAAACTTTTCTAGCAGTCCTTCACAAACAGGGAACAGTCTGTCTATTCTCTCCATCTGTCAGCTGCTGCAGGCTCTTCCTCCTCCTCTTCCTCACACACTGCTGAGTTTGTCCTGGTGGATCATCAGGGGTGCAAAGCCTCACAGATGATGTGCAGCAGTGGGTCCCTCAGTCTGTCCTCACTCGGGACACTTGCAGTTGTCACACATGGAAATCAAATGTGTGATAAGCTGCAGGATTCAAACACAAGTGTAACTTTTAAATACATGTTCATACTTTTATTACACAATCAGAGAGAAAGAAAAGGAGAGAAAGTGCAGGACAGACAGACAGGTGACAGTCTCAGGTGTGTACACTGCTACAAAACAGCACCAGAGAAGGAGGATTTAGTGTTTGTGTTATTAGAGTGCTAAACAAGAAGAGTTCCCAGATGGTACAGTGGACACATGTGTGACTCCTGTGATTAAAGCATCTTTCTTTCAGCTTAACGAGTGAACCGTCAGCTCGTTCAAACACATGTTAAAGTCCGTTTGGGTCGACCCCACCGAACAGAGGCAGCAATATAACATAGCTAACATTAACAGTGCAGTGAATCCTGCTTGTGCCGTGATATTCAGGACTGCAAACCGAGCAGCATCACTGACTTTCAGCTTGTGTTTGTGGATATATGACTGACTTTAATTATCCATAAAATCACCACATTCTCTGTAAGATTAAGGTCAGCTATTGAACGGCGTATATTTTAAAGTAAAGGCTTTAAAACCAAGTTAGTACAAACGTCACTAATGTCACATAACTTTGCCGACATGTGGCCAACAGTGATGTTTTAATGTTCTTCGTTATTGAACATTTGCACATAAATAAGTGACATAATATTCAGTACTCACTTAAAGTTCACTCTTCGGGCGCCCCTCATCCGCCGTTTTTTTCGGCAAAATTATCCACACCCACCGCCGCGCTATGCATTCTGGGATATGTTGGGCCACGAAGTGTCCACCGCCACATCCTTAAAATTCAGGGAAATGAAGGCCGCATTTGAGGGCCGCATTTCGAGCAGCCTTCGTCGCTGTGACGTAATCGGCCTTAAAATGCGGCCTTTAAGGCTGCAGACCCTGAATTGGGATACAGCCACAACCTCAGAAGGATCTCGATCACAGTTCCATCTAGTTTAGGGAGAGGGTCTCTGCAAATATGCGAACTTACTCTCACTGGACACTTCACTAGGTCACCTCACTAGCACCAGATTGACGCTTCAGAGCTGATCATTGTGACATCATCGCACAGCTGACGACCACCGCGAACCAGGCAGGATGGATCCAGACATGGTCATGGGAAAATCCCAGCAGATCCTAAAACAATGCTCAGTTTGAAGTTAAGCGGCTCATCATCAAGAGCACTGAGCTGCTGCTGTGATTGGCTGATTAAATATGAGTTAAAATGGAAACAATTAAAATGAAGGCAGTGCCAATAAAACACAAATGTGTGACTGCTGCGGGACAGAGGTGACTGGGTGGTGTGAACTCTTTCCCTGCTCTATCATACACACCATCTCCATACCCACCTCCACCTCTGACCCAACCACCCTACAAGAACTCTGATTGTGTTTGACACTATTGTTTATAAAAGATTGTGTTGTATATAAGACTTAAGTGTCACACTGAGGGGTGTGGGAGAACTGCAATTTCAAATTCCTGTGTATGATCTGTACACGTGGTTTTTGACAATAAAACTAACTTTGAAGTGAAAAACATCTGAATGTTTTTTTGTTAACGGTTTTATTTAAACTACACACGCTAAGAGCATCACAGGTACTGTACATTTCACAGGCCCGGTGTCCTGAAAGCTTTGGAAAGATAAAAGAATGAAAAGTGTTTTATTATTATTGTGACTGAGTGAAGTTTAAATTTATCTCATAGATGACGACACACTGCTCTCCCCTACACGAGTATCGATACCAGTACCAGCAGTATTGACCTTCTACTTACTTGGCCTTGGATTAATACCATAAGTATTGCAGTATTGTGCAGCAGTACCTGAAACCACAAACAGAAAACCTGCTTGCTGACTTTCCCTGAAAACTGATGAACATTCAATTAATTCAAGCATCAGACTTTAACATTTAGACTTTATTAAAAAATGATTTTCCAAACGAGGAAAAAACATGAAAAAAAGATCTTTGCGAATACGTTAGTGTTGGAGCGCCGTGGGTGGGCGCACAGCTTCACTCTCACACACAGGCTCAGAATGGCGAGCGATGGAGGTCAAAGTTTAACTCTGGGCTTCATGTAGTGTTTCCTGCAGCCGCTCCACCTGCTTGGAGCCGCCGAGGATTCAACCTTCTGCTCGCAGCTGAGCCGACAGGCCCGTTTACAGCCTGTGACCATGCCTGCGGTCTGTGTGGAGACACCACGCTGAGCCACGAGAGACGGTTTCTGTTAAATGAGGAAGGATCTGCATAAAAATGAGGTAAAAATGAAGGTATAAAATAAAAGCACTGACTCAGCATCTGTAGAAAAATAGGACAAACCCATGACGGGTTCTGTTTCTGCAGCTCAACCCAAAAAAAGAAACCGACTCGTTTCAAATATGGCGCTTGCCTCCAGCTTCCGACCGCCGCGTCACGCTGCTGGTGCTTTGGTCCTGGAGATGATGTCACTGTTTTGGCCATGTTTGCGGACACTCGAGCTTTAGTGGTTCGTGGGCAGCAAACAGGACACGAAAACTGAGCGACAGTGTGCACGCAGCTCAACTCAGACCGCCGACTAATATCATTACTGCAATAAACCAAAAGCAGACATCTGAAGGTCAGAACGTCGACTCAAGACCACACGCACATTCACCAGAGGTTGCATTTGAACGTTATAACTGAACCTGATTGACACTGAAGCATTCGCAGTGAAGTCGCTCTCCAAGATGGTTTAATCCTCAAAGCGAACCTCTCGGCTGCTCGTAGTGACACAAGTGGAGATGCCCTAAGAGAGGCAGTTAGATCATGTGGAAGCAGCACAGATGTTGTCTTTTACCCTGTTTCTACACCCGAACGCGTCAGTCGAGCTCTGAACACGTTTTCCTGATTTTCAGATCACAGCTGAGGTTTAAACTCCGCCCCATGACAGCAACTTTGCGTGATTCTCAGCTCCAACAGCCCTTCCACCTGAAACAAGCTGTTTACCACTGCTCCAGGTTATCGTCTTCTGATTAGCTGCCCCTCTAGCTGTTCCAAACAGCTTGTAGGCGGGGTTTCTATTCTCTCTCTGTGACTTCAGAGGGCCAAAGATATACAAAAACAAAAAACAAACTGATAAACTGAGTGTTCAGAGGAGTTGGAGCTCAACTGACGCGATCATCGAGCACGAAGTGCAGGTACACGACAGGAAGTAAGGAGAAGAGCACGCCCACTTTTTATTCTATTTTTTTTGGGCTGAGCAGCAAGAATTGCACCTCGTAACAAAAACTGCAGCTCGCTTTCACAATTAAAGGTTGTGATATAATAAAGGCTCATCATGATGATTGAAGACCTCAGTCCAGTGTCTGTCGCACCATGGAATGTGTTTCTATTGTTTCTAACTGTTTCTGGAAGCTAAAGCGTGTGGAGTGTTTCTGCACACAGAAGGCATTCGTGTTTTCAGAAAGGTAGACAAAGAGTTGCAGCACCTCGGTGTGAAGGCAGAGACAAGGAGACGTGCAGCGCTGACGGGCGGGAGTCACGTGATATTTACATGCCCGTGTGCACACAATACACTAGGGTCCCCCCCCCACCCCACAGCGCCTCCCACCCCCGAGCCGTATGTATGTTTCTGCACGTGCGCTCCAAGAGATGCTGGGGCCGGAAACATGGTCAGTATGTTAGGACTTAGCGAGCCGATCGCCTTCACCGTGCGTCCTCGTGCGGACCGTCAGCCCCACAGTTTGCACAGCCGTCACCTCTGCATGGCGTGCCTAGAGCCTGGTGCCTGTTTCCCTTTCCTCGGAATGTCCGGCAGCCCGAGTGGCCGCCTGCACTGACCTTTGGCCTCTGGCTCAGAGTCGCTGAGCTCAGCGTCGGGGCAGTACCCGTCGCTGTCCTGATACGATCGCGCACTCTTCAAGCGGTGCTCCGGTGCTGGTTTGGCCCACAGCCTCTCCTTGGCACCGCTCTTCCGGGACAGTTTGTCTGCCCGCAGGTCCTCGGTGGTCCGGACCAGGTTGATTGTGGCCTGTTTGAAGGAGCGGCCAAAGTGCTCCATGGCGGACTTGCGAAAGACGCTCTTCTCGTTTGCAGTGTTGCGGTCAGCGGGCGTCTGGCATGAGCCGTCCCTCTGAGCAGCGCCCTTCTCCAGCACGCCATTAGATTTGGCCAGGCGTGCTCGGTCTCGCTCCAGTCTGCCATTGCTGTTGGAAGGCTGTCCGTGAAGCGCGCCGTGCAGCGTCAGAGGTTTCCCGCTTGGTTTAACGTGCTGCGGTGCACCGCTGGTCGAAGACGTTCGGCTGGTGGAGCGCTCGTCTCTGATGCTGCGGCCGTGCAGCTGAGGCTTCCCCTGGCCCACCCCCTCACCGCCGTGCTCACCCACGTTCCCGCTGTTGTCTGGGCACAGCGGTCCGTTCCCAACACCCAGAGCTTTGGGCATCTTCAGCTTCAGAGTGATCCTCGGAGGAGGCCGGGACAGCACACTCTCCAAGGGGAATGAAGCAGGAAGACCTGCAGAGAAAACACATGTTCAGTCCCTTTTTCTCTTTTCCATAATCACATCACAGACAGCTTAAGAGTCCTCACAAACTGTTTTATCCTTTACTTCACCATAAAAAAGAAAAAAAAAAGAATCATAAATCCATCATAAATCCTGCTGATCCCAAGTTATTGTGTTACAGGCATTACATATATTAATTTACATAATTATTCAAAACTCAAACCAGATCATTTTACAGTGTGAACTTCGACCCCATTTCTGATTAGTCACTTTAAAATCTGGGCTGATTTAAAAGGATCCAAATCATAAAATTAATTTATGATTCTGACAGGACGTTCTTCTTATCACATACCGAGTGTTGGTTTCTACCTGCTCATTAACAGGTAAAATACACAGAAACTTTTCATAGGGGTCAAAAATCACTAATTTCTCACTGGAAAGCTTTGACATCCTATGTGGGATGATCCCTCTGAACTGAGCCGAGTCTGAGCTTTGCTTTGTATTTTTCTGCGTCACATGACCTGCTCTGAGGTCAGCTGATACAAAGAGCAAGTCACGGAGCTGGTGCTGCTTTTCACTGTGAACTCACCTGCAGAAATCTCCTGGTTCGTGAGCTTCACATGCAAGTTGAACATTTGCTCCTGAGCTTTGCTCTGCAGCAGCTTCAGCTTCTCCCGCCGACTCACCATGTAACACAGGTTCCTCACCTGCAGCCAGATACACACAACTTTATTAAAGACAGCAGTATAGATGGGATCTGATTGGGTGACAGCAGGTTCACTCCTCAGAGTTTCTATAAATGCTACTGAATCAGCAATGGTTGCTCTGACACTGAGTACATGCTCTGATCTTTTAGGCTAAAGCTAAAAAACCACATCACCACTAACACAGGCTGCACACACACACGGCACAGAGGAAGCACCCACCCTTTCTAGGTCCTGCCTCAGGTGCATGAACATGCGCATCCGGGTGTGGATGCTGTCCTCCTGCGGCTGGAGCACCAGCTGCTCCTCCTCCTCTTTAGGGGGCAGCAGAGCCCTGTTGAAGCTGCTCTTCCTTTTCAGCTTCCAGTACTGGTAGATGAAGTCCACCAGGTGCGGGGACAGCCCAAGGTCCCGGGCCAGCTGCTCGGGCTCGATCAGGGTGTAGAACTCCTCCTCCAGCTCCTGCAGCCGCTGAGCTCGCTGGCCCCCCTTCCCCGCCTCTCCAGGGGCTTTGGATCGAGCCGGGCTCAGGCCGGCCTCTCCGGCTTTGGGCTGGCTGTGTTTTAGGCAGTACGACTTGAACTTGACTTCATCCCCTTCATCCAGGATCGTCTTCATCTCCAGGCTGTGCTGGAACGCACAGGTCACGTGGAAGGGTGTGGTGCAGTTCTTTACTGAACACTGAACAGGGGGAGAGAGCGGATCGAGTTACTTGAGGGAAAAGCCAGCTTACGTCCAGCTCCAGTGCAGACTTCTTGCTGCAGACGCTTCGAGGATCATAAAATCAAACTTGAATGTCTGCAGACATGCAATCATTCTAAAGTAATCTCTATGGCATAAAACGGAAGGAATAACTCACCTGGATGCACGCACCTGTCTTCAGCTTGCACAGACTGCAGATCAGAGACCAGCGACTGGGGGGGATGTGGGAGACTTTGGTGATGGGCTCCATCCTCTCTGGACAGGCGATGCTCACCTGCAGGACCACACATTTTCACTGTCACTATCACTATCATTTCTGCACGTGTGCTCCTTTATTAAAGGTCTATAGACCAAAGCAGTAAATATTTTCATCTTAGTCTCTGATACAAAAAACCCCAAAACATTATTTGTCACTGTTTGTGTTGTTGCACCCGCTTCCCCTCATCCCGGATTCACTTACCTCAGGGATCCACAGAGCGCAGCTCACATGAGCCCACCTTGTGCCGGCTCGTGTCGCCTTCATGGCCCCGCCTTTCTGGGGACACAGGAGGCACTGCGGGTCAATACCGAGGACGCATGTCCGGCACAGCCAGTTACCAATGGGCACCTTAACAATGCCGTAGCACGCCTGCGGAAAGAACAGCGGGATGCAAGTGATATGTAACCAGAACATCAACAGAAACAACACAAAAACACAAGTGTGCTGCCCGGGGTTCCGACACACGCTCCGGTCACATGGTCAGGGCTAGCAAAAGCAGAAAGGCGTTTCCTACCTGGTGCACACAGATGTTGCACTTGTCACAGAACACCATGTCGTTGCCCTCCTCGCTGTCCGGAGAGCGGCACACATCACAGATGACGTCTTCATCATATTCAATCCCCAGACCCTCCACTGTCTCGATGGCGTGCTTCATGTTGTCGTGGCACTGCCTCTCCAGCGCCTCCATCGCTCGCTCCATCATTAGCTCGTCCACCGGCTCTTCACCTGCAGGACCAAACAGCAACACCCCACGTGATCAGACACTCCCGAGAACAAGAACAGAGGTGTTCAAAGTGTGGACTGTGCCCCCCCAGTGGGCAGCACCGGTGCTGCAGATGGCCCTCATTTATAATAAACAGGAAGGTTTAACTTTGAAAAACAGCCAAATATTAAAATACATGTAAAAAGCCTCAAATACAAAGCCAACAGAAGACAAAAACAAATGTGCAGAAACAGAAAAAAGGAAGATGCAGCGTCACTAAGCATCACGCTGGATCATCGGGCCCGTCTTACCCATGCGTTCAAGCTCGTGGTTGAGCACATGCAGCCAGTAGAGGTCCATGTCATCCAGGTCGTAGCGGCACATGGCCTCCGCCAGCTCTTTGATGCTCACGAAACCCGGCTCCTTGGACTCCTGGCTCCAGCACTGGATGTACTTCTTCTGGTGGGTGTACAGCGTTTCCTTCTGCTTCTCCGCGATTACTCTGAAAAGAAACAGCAGAGAGCCGTTAGACTGAATAGCTGAACCAACCAGAACCTGCTTCAAAGAGAGCCAACAAACACATTTAAAGGTCAAAGCTGTAATGATTGCGATATCTCCTCCTGCTGTGATTGAGAGAGCGAGGCGATCAGCTGACGCCGAACGTATTTGCTCTCCTGTTTGCACTTTCAGACTGGTCTGTGGTCATGTTGAAGCCATGGCACAGATTCTTTCTCCTCCTCCTCCAGGAGACGCAGGAGCATTACCGATCCAGCTGACAGGTGAATTCCCCCCCAGGGCTCCTACCACTGGGTCATGAGATACCTGAGCCGGTTCCCGTTGGGGTGGAGCTCCTCCAGAGCGTTCAGTCTCTGAGGCTGTGTCTGACGTGGTCATGTGCTCAGCTACGGCTGACTCGTGTAAACTTGTCACTTGAGTACGCTGATCAGCGTACTCAAGTACCTGTATGAAGAGGAGGTGGCAAACTAAGACGTTTGGGAGGCGGTCAGACTCACCTGACGGACGGCTCTGGGATGGTGTCTGGGCTCGCTGGTACCTGCACTCCTTTCTCCCACTCCTGCTTCCAGGTGTCTGCCAGCAGGTAGCAGTCCTCTGGGGAGATGTGGTGGGAGTCAGGCAGCTTCATTGCACTGATCAGGTCTTTCCTGAACACCTGTGGGGGAGAGAGACGCACACAGGTAGTCAAACGCCATCCTGACATTTACTGACGCTCAGCAAAGTCTGATACGCACCTCAGCTGGCTTCTTCGGGTTGGATGCAGGTGTTCCAGGTTTGCTCCCATATTTGTTGGAGGAGCAGAACGAGGTCGATGGACCTGAAAGAAGAAAGAGGCGAATAAAAAGAAATGAAGGAGACAGTTTGGTCTGGGTTACGGGTCACGCTGCCATGCCGCGACTGTTTTTGGACCCCAAGCCTGAGACGTGTGGTCAGCCTGAGAGTGGTGTACCTGTGTCCGTCTGTTCTCACATCCAAAACACCAGGAGGCAGCACAGTTTCTCTCTGTGACCGACACTCTTCAGTCAATTGAAACTTGCCATCACTAGAGGGCGACGTTAGGCTGAGGTGTGGCATCAGATTTTGATGTTAATTTTTTTGGTTGTTTTTTTATCAGAAAGGTTAAATAAGAATCTTTTTGGCCTTGGTAAATTCTTTAAACATGTTAAGACAATGTCTCCACAGAACCACGAACAGCATCCATATGACGTGTTCAGGGAGACGCACGTCAGGCACATTTACAAGTGTGACGCACCAATAGCATAAATCTGAAATGCTCGAAGAGCGTTTTCACATTTTAAAACTGGAACATGCTTATTATTTTCCAGTTTTAATGATGCTGCCGTCTCACACTGATTATTCAAATGGGATCCTTTTGATTCTTTTGCACAAACAGGCAAGACTGCACACAGATCACTTTCGTCTGTTGTTACAGAAATAGTTACAGAGCAGTCACAGGTTAGAAATGATGATGACGCTGGAAACGAAGTGGCAAGCTTGACTCACTCTCATTGTCAGAAGTGTCACTGCTGCTGGAGGACCGGAGGCGTTTCATCCTGTATCATCCTGCAGCAGCAAAAAAAGATGATGACATTCAAATATTGATGATTTTTAAGGCCAACGGAACAGAAGTTTGTGGACACAAAGAAGAAATTTGTACTCACCGTAAACTTCAAATTGAAAAGCATACTAGTAGATTCTTCTGTCAGACCGCTTCAGTTCATATCTGCAAACCACAAGTAAATAAAGACATTTATAAAATTACTCAACTATTACATGTTATTATATCTCTGCTGTAACTTTCTAATTCACTTGCTTTTAACGCGTCATCATCACATATGATCACTTTTGTTTTATTACTTTGTGTTGCATCTCTATCTGTGAAGGACGGAGCAGCACTCACCCGCCTCACAGGTGTCATACAGACACAGGTGTAGTGATTCATCACACACAACAGTCTTTGTTGTGTGTGATGTTGGTTTTTATAACTTTTAAAGCATATCTGTGTCAATAAACAGGAGGTGGAAGAGGCCAGAGCGACACCAGTCCTAGATACAGAACGCTGTTTCAACAGGGGGCACAAGCCTGACATTCCCCATAAAGACACAAGGAAGAGGAGGAGCCAGGAGCCCCTCTCCTTGCCATATCATAGTGGCGTACACCTCACGTGAAAAGCTCAAGTCAACTTACAGTGTTGGAAGCTGTTGGTAAATATAACAGCAGGTTCTCCCTGATAAACAAAAATCATATTTTCACTCCATGTTTGTGCTTTTCCACTTGACTTTTCAGTAACCTTAAGCACCAGAAGCTGCAGTTCCTTTATTTTCCAGCAGCGGCAGCAGTGAGTTAGTTCTCATAGACTCCCTCATGGACTCGAGGACCACAGTATTGTTTCTATGTTGCCAATTTCCTCGTCGCCAGGTTTTTAAAATAGTGGCTCATGAAGGAGACACTCTCATGACTCCTCAAGTGACGCCATTGACTAGTCAATCGGTATCATGCAGTCTGTTGACATCACTTTTTCAGATCGCTTGGAACACGGTGGAATATGTTCAAAAAAGTACCGGGTACTATAACCTATCCCTAACAGAGAACCCTAAAAATCGCGACGAGCCTACCCGGGTAGGTACTAATACTAAACAGTGGGCTCACTTCTGCCCCCAAATAAAACCAGTATGGCAGCAGCTACCACTTCTGAGGGTTCCACGCTGACGATGAGTGCTCCCTCCATCTTTCATGTACAGTGTGTGGAGGCTGTTCAAACAGGTTCATATATGTAAGATCTCATTACTCCACAGCAAGGTGTGGCAGGGGTTCTCCACCTGACATCTAACCTGTGGAGGGAGGGCGTACGGATATGACGTCAGGTTGTTTAAAAAGCTCATCTGACAGGAAACGATGAGAAAAGGCTAACACACTGTTTACTTCCCTCCCTCTTCCTGTTTTGTGCCGTTTCTTGGCTCACCTGAAAGAAAGCCTCACACACCTGTGTAAAGTGTTGGCGCCAAACTGTAAGGCCTGCCCGCGGGCTGGGAAATCAAACATAGGCGCCTCCATCACTCAAACATGTCACTTCCTCGGAGGCTCTGAGGCGGGCATCTGTGCTGCTCCGCTGGGTTCATACCCCGGGAGCCTACCAGCCGCTCGTGGTACCGGGGTAAAGAGGCAGGACGGCCCCAGAGAGAGCGCAGGCCCCGGGCCTGAAGGGACAGTCCAGGGCAGAGCCCAGAGCTCAGCTCGCCACCATATTGTTCACATTTTCCCGCTCATACCTGCAGTCCCGCCGCTGCCGCCCGCGTTATTCCACTCACACGGTCCTCACACGGCCTCGGCCCGGGCTCTGGTTCCGGACTCGGTACTTCTGTCCCCGCAGCTCAACGGGAGGATCCAGCTCTGCTGCCCGGACACCAACACGCCACAACGGCCCTATTGTACAGCGCAGCCCACCGGGTCCTAAACCCCGCCGTCGCAGTCAGCCTCCGCCTTCCTCGGAGTGGTGCTAACGCTGCATTACCGCCCCAAGCGGTGGGAGTGTGAACCCCAGGCAGATTTTTGTTCGATAAAACGAGACTTTTGGAAAATGAAAAAGTCCGTTTGTGGCAGGGGTGGCATTAGCTGGCATAGGGTGCCACTCTAAAATTATCTCTTGTCACCCCTAGTGCCACCCTAGCTTTGCATGTGACAGTGTTGTTTTTAAGTAAAAATAAGGTAGCATTAACACTTTGAGCCCAGCAACAATTAAAAATGAACATAAATCCTAAAACTGAATATATTGCATACACACACACCGTTAACAAATGGTTTTACCCATGGCGCAGACCGGCTTTATTTCTTGTTTTCACTAGTTTTCAGTAGATTTTGTAAACTTTATTGATTATAAAATTTGTGCATACGTTTTCAAACTTTACAATTATTATTTGAATTTAAAGTTATAAAATAATTTACTAAATGTGTCTGTTGTTTTTACAGTAAAAAAAATAAATAAATAAATATATATATATATATATATATATATATATATATATATATATATATATATATATATATATATATATATATATATATATATATATATTGGGCCGAAAATAATTATACCAAGCAACACAAAAAAAAATTTAAAGGTGAAATACAAATGTAAAACCAAAAGTAGTAAAAATGGCCAATTATAATTTGGACCTCAGAGTGTTAAACCAGCAAATCATGGAAAATTAGGTTCAAATTTCTCTTCATTACGGTGCAGATTTCTGATATTTTGTGTAAATTTAAGTAACAATTTGATTTTTTCCTAACAAAAAAAGTGTGAAACATAAGTTAGATATGTGTTTTTAAATAAAACGGCCCCATATTGTGTAACTTTATGGATTTTATACTTATTGGGCTACATATTTATTTATTATACAAGCTATACAGGACATCAAAGTTCACGTTTTATGTAACTGAAATGTTTAATTATGTGGGCTACAGAAAATAATGAAGTTATTGACTATATTTATTTGAAACGTAAACTTAATGCATTTGAATCATTTTAACCCCATGTAACACCTGCATATGTGTTTAAAAAAGGCTTTGGTTTTGCCACCCCATTTGATTTCCATGCCAGCCAAAGAAAATTTCTCTTGATCCGCCCCTGGTTTGTGGGTCTTACAGTGTGAGTGGGTAGGGGGCACAGTCCATTTATCAGTCTCACAGTGCAAAGAACTCATCCAGCATCTACTATCCTACTGGCAGTCCTACGATCTTGTTGGGTTGTCGCTTCTCACGGGACGTCCAGCTGCTAAACCAGGATGTGAAGCTTAGCATCAGGATGTTTTCTGTTACACCTCTATAGAAGGCTGTGAGGCGAAGTGTTGGGAGCCCTACTTTCCTGAATCTTCCGAGGGGGTGGCTTTTGTGCTTTTTGATGACTGCTATGGTGTTAGCGGAGAAGAACGGCTCATCAGCTAAGTGCACACCAAGGAACACTGCTGACACTCCACAGCAGCACCATTTATGGTGAGGTCTGCGTGGTGATCTTAGCCAAACCTCCTGAAATCTACACACCACTTCAAGCTTCTTCACGCGAACTCATTATTGTTACTTGTAATAATGAGAACAACCACTGTGGTGTCATCTCCAAACTTTGCAGTGTGGTTGGTGCTGGATCTGTGCGAGCAGACTAAACAGCAGCGGGCTGAGGACACAGCCCTGAGGTGAGCCTGTGCTCATTGAAATGGTTTTTGATGTGTGGTTGCTCACCTTCACTGTCTGCTGTCACTTTGTCAGGAAGCTGAGAACCTATTCGCAGGTTGCAGTGTCCACAGAAACAAGCATCAGCTTTTCCACCAGCCGCCTGGCGGTAGTATTGCTAGTTTGCTTGATGATGCTCAGATGCACACAGAGTGACGCACTCTGGAGTGACTGCAGTCAAAAAATCTTAATTGTTACATCTGTGCTGAGACTGGCTCTGACACACACCCTCCATACAGTAACAGTCACAGAGACTAAAATTAAAAGTGGAAAAAAAAAAGACGATAAAAGCTAAACTGAAACATGAAACCAGCTATGGAAACTAAACTGGAATTAAAAAACTAAATAAAAATAAAACTAGGCAGAAAATACAAAACTATAACTGCTGCCAACAAAACACAATAACACCTGTCCTCTCAAATGCTTTCTTGTCCCTCCTTTAGGGGGCTCCATAGCTTCACCACCTCCGCTCGCTCCAGCTTCACTGAACCTCTGCTCTCAGACACATCAGTCAGGGTTTCCTGGGTTTTACAGTTAATCTGGAGATATTGGTCAACCCTCAGTAACACAGTGGAGACAGACCTGATTCATAAAATACAGACACCGTGTGTAAGTATTCTCACTGGCCACTTCATTAGCTACACCTATTTATCTTCCCTTTAACACATGTATCTTATCAGCTCGGTGCATTTATGCATATAGACCTGATGAAGAAGAGCTGCCGAAGTTTAAAGTGAGCATCAGAACAATGAAGAAAGGTGACCTCAGCGACCGTGTTTCTAGGATTTTCCCACCAAGTGGTTGGAGTTTACAGAGAAAGTATTGAGCGAGCAGCAGCGCTCTGGGAGGAAACGCCTCGTTGCGGTGGAACATGTGAAGCATGTTCCTAGCAGACTGTCCAACCTGGTACTACTTGTACCTAATAAAGTGACCAGTGAGTGTGTTTTGAATGTGCAGAAAGTTTCAGACATCAGAAGAAATCTCCCTGAAGCACATCAGAACTGATAAAGTCCAGGAAAAGAAGATGGTCATTAAAGCAAGGCGTGGTATAAACACTGACCTCTGACTTCTTTAGATTGACACTCACACACACACAAAAAGAGAACATGCTCTAAGCCCTGACCTCCATCAGCAGAAGCGGACTTACACTGAAAAGAAGGGTTGAAAACAAGATCTTTCAGCTTGTAATCTGATTTTTATAACAACATTACTTTACAGACTACAGCCTTGCAGCACAGGTATAACAAGTGTGCAAACACAGGTGATGTCCCTACATCACAGTCAGGGAGTAGTAACGCACCACACTAAGCCAGAACGCTGGACACTGAGTTAATGAGGACAGAAGCATGATCATAACCTCCCACTCATTTCTGACCTTCCTGTGATCGCCTAACGGGACCTGATCACAAACAACCCGACACACTTTAGCTTTTTGTGACCTTTAAAGCTCGTCATTTACACATGTTGGTGATCTGAGAAAGAGGAAGAAGAGAGCTTCCCTTATTCACTCTGAGATGCTGTGTTTGTGTAAAGTTGACTCCACAGAGTGTGTGCTGATGGCTTGAGACGATCATTGACCACATCAGGATCACCCAGTCTGTCAGCTCGGCCTGAAACAAAGTTGTTTTATTCTCGGAGTACAAAAGACGCCACACATAATGAATCTTTTACTAAACATCGGGATTGAAACCCTTCATGTTCCTATATAAAAACATCAGCAGAGTATAAAACAAATATTACAAATGTTGTTCTTTAAAAAACGATCACACAGAAGTGCCTACATCAGAAACACAGCTACTGTTCACACAGCGATCACTTAATCAGTCCAGCTTTGGCCTAACAATCATCAATACATCAGATACACACATGAGTCTGTCATGTGAATCACTCACACAGTCCCTCTCTCTCACACTCCCCTCCCTCTCGCTCACACTCCCCTCCCTCTCTCTAACACAGACTCAAACACACCCAGATCCTGGTCAGACACACAAAGAGGGCTTGGCTCTCTCGGGCAGCGCGAGCATCCCTCGTGCAGCAGGTTGAACTACAGTCAGGTTACAGGTTCAGCACAGAGCTACATTCACAATGAAGCAACATCACCGAGTACATTCGGAGCGATATAAATATTCACAGCTATGAGCAATGAAGGTGCAGCGGGGTTCCTGACCCAAGCTCATCACGCGCTCCTTCACCTCCTCTACTCTTTAAGGACAGAAGGACCGTCAGTTTAGTCTGAGCTGGACGGCGTGGAGGGCGGAGTCACCGTGACATCACATCACCTACAAGCCCATCTGCATGTCGGCGAAATTGAAGAAGTTGTCGACGTCTTGAGACGACGTGTTTTTGTTGTCGGAGACAAAAAGCTGCAAGACAAAAAAATATCAGTAAATGTGACATCTTCGAAAACGCAGAGTGAAGCCATAAGGATCGGGCCGGGACCGCGCTGCGCTCACC